TGAACCGAGGCGTTCTGACGGGGGAAGTGGCGACGATGCGGCACGGCGTGTGGCCCAGAACCTGGCACCTCGCCGTCCTTGGAGGGCTCGCGGGGAAGGCCCCCAGCCTCGTGCGAGCTACCAGCGCACATAGGAAAGATGCACGCCGAACTCGCAGCAGCACTACCAGAAGACGGCGGAGGAGGACCATGCCTGGGCACCAGAGGGCAGGTGTCAGAATCATCATCGTCGGCCTCCGCTCCACGGGCCGCGGACCAGCCCGGGGCACTGGGAAGGGCCGCTGCCGCGGGCGAACCGCCCCTTGCCGAGCCCTGCGGCGCACCGCTAGGCTTCGGCGACCGACCCCGCAGAGGGGGGACCCTGGCATTGGGGTCAGCAGCGGCGGCAGCGGCGGCCTCTCCCAGCGGCACCGCCCCAGCAGGCTGGGCAGCCGCCTGCGGCCCATCGGGCGCTGCAGCTCCAGGCGGCGTGTAGCGCCGTATGCTGCCATCAGCGTGGGCACGCGGCATGGCATCCACGCCCACCACCAGCAGCGCCAGCAGCAGTAGGCGCATCGCCCCGAGACCACGCGCGCCGCAAGCCCTAGTAGGGCCCGAGCCGCCCTGGGCGCCGGGGCCGCCGGAAGGAAATTCGAAGACCCCAGAAAGAGCCCTAGTAGGGCCCGAAGCCTGTCTGGAGGCGCTCCTTCTGGTGCCACTGCTCCGAGAGGAAATCGCGCTGTCGCTTGTACATGGCGCGGAGGGTGGCCTCGTCTTGGCCTCCAATGTTCCCCCCCTCGCCTTGCATGCCGCCCAGCCACGTCTTAATCCCCTCAAGGTCGATATCATCAGGCATGAGGTCAGCAGCAGAGAAGCGGCCAGCAGCAGCAGCAGGGCCGGCGGGAGGGGCAGGCCGGGCAAGCCCAGCGCCCGCCTCTTCGCCTGGAGCCGCACCGCCAGCAGCGGCAGGCGCAGCCGCCGAGCGCCCAGCCTCCGCCGGTGCTGTCGCGAGCTCACGTTCGGCCTGGGCGGCCCTCTCGCGTTCCAGCTTGGCGGCCTCGAGCAGCCGCATGTCAGCCAGGACGGAGGTGAGCCTGGCGCCGACCGAGCCGTCGTCGCCGAGCTCCTGGAGCGTCTTTCCCAGCGCCTCGACCGAGATGCTGCCGAGCCCAGGAACTGCCTCGGCCGCCGTAGCATTCTCAGCCGGCGGCCTCGCCATCTGCCCGCACAAGCTGGCGTGCTCCCGCTGCAGCTCCACCAACTCCTCCGAAGTGGCAGATAGCGCCGCAGCCGCTTCCTGCCGCTTGACCTCGAGCTCCGTCTGCTGCAGCTCGATGGCCTGAAGCGCGTCGGCCTGGGTCTTCTGGCGCTTCTCGACCCGCAGCTGCTTCTGGGCCAAGTCGCGGATGCGCGTGCCGACAGGGCGAGCGGCAGCCACCGCGTCGCGCAGGGTCTTGCGCTCCTCCTCCATGGCCTTGCGCGCCGTGACCACCGAAGGCTCCTGCACCTGCTGCACCTGGGCGATGGCCACATCCAGCTCAGCGATGCGTGCCTTCTGCTTGGCCTCGTCCGCCTCCACCCCGCCGTCAACGTCCATGGCAGGCGCCGAGCGGGGCGCGGCCTCCGCCTGCACCAGGCGGGCCCGCACCGAGGCCAGCTCGATCTCCAGCTTGGCCACCTGGCTGCGCCAAGGCGGCTCGGCGGTGGCGGGGGCCTTGGGCTGCACGTGTTTGGACGGCTTGCCAGAGCCCTCGTCGCGCGGGCACAAGAAGGCGGACCCCTTGGCCACGTTGCACTTCGTGCACTTGGCTTGATCACCGTGATTCCACCACGCCTTGCCACTGGTGGGGTGCTTGCACCACTTGCAGCACCATGCAGTGGCCAGCGCGGCACGATTGCCATGGCCCCCCTTGGGCGCCATCCTGGGCCGAGACAGACGAGGCTGCACGCTAGGACCAAGAAGAGCACCAGGGAAGGCGGCGTGATGGCTGAAGCGTCGGCGCTATGGAGCGCCGATCCAGACCTGGGCGAACAGGCCGAAAAGGATGAAAGCAAGCTCGGGGAACAGAGCTATCCCGTTCTGGCACGAGGGCGCGGAAGCCTTCTCGTGCAAACATCTTGAGCCACAATGGCTACGGAGGAGGAGGAGGAGGAGGAGGAGGAGGAGGAGGAGGAGGGGGAGGGGGAGGGAGGAGGGGGGGAGGAGGAGGAAGAGGAGAAGGGGGAAGGGGGGGGGATAGGGGAGGAGGGAGCGGGGGAGGAGAGTCAGCAGGAGCAGGAGGAGGAGGAGGAGGAGGAGCAGGCATACCCGCGGAGGGGGGAGATAGAGGGGCGGCAGCTGCGCGGATGGAGCTGGCTCCAGGCGCGTGGCCCGCGCCGGGGCGAACGCACCGTGCTGGGACTCGGGCTCGAGGATGTCCCTCGGGCAACTGGGGCCTCCAGGGTTCGAAGACCGTGCGGTGACGGACCGTGCGGTGAGGTCGTTGGGGGGTCTGGGGTCACCGCCGTGGAGCATCCCAGTTCTATCTATTTTACGCTGCGGACAAGATCACCCGAGCAATGAAAAGCTGCCTTAAATATCCAGCTGCCTACGGCAAGTCCCGCCACCGTGCCTGGGTCGTGGGTCATCAGCCTAGTGGATGTTCGTTGGAATCTCGTGGGAGGGAGGCCTCTCGAGGGCCTCTTGGAAGCAGTTTTCAAACCTTTTGGGGGCTGTTTGGGGGCCTCTTGTGGACCTCTTGGGGCCTCTTGGGGGTCTCTTAGGGGCCTCGTGGGGCCTCTTGGGCGCCTCTTCGGGCCTCCTGGGGGCTTCTTGGGGCGGTGAACGCGTAAAACGCTTGTGGCGCTGACGAAAGCGTTTACAAGCACTCCTCGGGAGCTAACAAGCTTGGAGAAAGCTGGTGGGAAACGCTTGCCAGGGCATTTGTGCGTCCCAAACCCGGAGAGCGACGCAGCCTGCGCGTACAATGCCTATGGGGGAGCTGCGGAGAGCGCTAATCAGAGCTAGCCCCGCTGCTCGACAGGCTCCGCCGAACGCAACATGCTCGGAGCTGGCTGCAGCAGGCCTTCCGGCCCGCAGTGGCCCTTGGGGCGTCCCACCACGGCAGCTTCCAAGCCTTCATTGACGTTCAGCGTGCGGCACGCCAGTGCTTTGCGCCCCTCCCCACCACAGGGCCGCGCGAACAAGCAGCACCTGCTCCGTCGCGTGTTCTCGTTGGGCCGCTGCGGGGATGCCCCAAGGCGGTGCCGCTCACTCTTCCCCAAGCTCCGCATCGCGCATGCCGGCGCGCGTGCGAAGGCGGCATTACTCTGCCACGGGTGCGCAGACGGGTCCTCGAGCGGGCTGATCACTCTGTATTCCAAATCCCTTATGAATCGTCCCAAAGGCCTGGCTTTTTCAGGCGCCTTCTTTGTATCTGGGGAGGCCTGGTTTATCAGGGCGCTTTCTTTGGATTGGAGCTCATATGGGGGTCCGGCTTGTGCAGGTGCCCCGTCGACGAGGGGGTCCAGAATATCAGGGTCGCCTCTGGGGGGGGGTCCGGTTCTCAGGGGGGGGTCGATCAAGGAGGGAGTTGGAGTGCTCCGCCACGGGCGGCGCAGGCGGGGGCCTCGGGCGGCCCGGTCTCCGCACGCCCGCTTCGACTTCCACGGGGGGCGGGGCCACGCCACCGCCCCTGCCTCGTGTGAGCGGCACCACCGGCCTCGTGGGGCAGGCCGGCAGGGTGCGCCGGCAGCCGCGGGGCCCGGGCGAGGCCTCGTCCGAAGCGGTGCACACGTCGCTCTCTTTTGCTTTTTTCTGGTTGGCCATCTCTCTCTCTCTCTCTCTCGTTTCTCTCTCCTCCTCCTCTTCGCAGTACGCTCGGTCTCTCTCTCTCTCTATTTCTCCCTCTCTTTAACTTTTTTTTTTTTTTGTTTCTCTCTCTCTCTCTCTCTATTTCTATATCTCTCATGCTCTCTGTCCCTCCCTCCCACTCTCCACCCCTCCCTCTCTCTCTCCCTCTCTCTCTGTCTGTCTCTCTTTCTGTCTCTCCCCGTCACTCGCCGTGCAGGCTTCTTCGCGCCGTGGAGAGAATGTCACGGCGGCAGCTTTCTGGCTTTGGGCAGCGCGGCCCCTTGTCGGGCCTGGGGCAGCGGCGTCCTGGAGAACCGTATCGTCGGAAATCTGGGATCTGCGTTATCAGAAAGCGCCGATCTGCTCGGGGTTCAACGATCCACCCGGCGTCAGAAAAAAAACATCGACAAAACCTCCGACGAGGTTTTGATTTCCTGAACGCGAGGGAGTCTGGACCCTGTCCTTGGGGCCGGCTCGTGTGTTGACGGTCCTGGGGCCCGGCGAGGCCCCCCAGAGGGCAGGAGCGAGGAAACAGGTCCATGCTGTTTTTGACCACGCTTCACTGCGCACGCTTCCAGCACTCGCTCACACGGACTGCATGCTCTGAGAGCGACGAAAACACGTCCACGTTGTTTTTGTCCGTGCTTCGCTGCGCACGCTTCCAGCACTCGCTCGCACACGGACTGCCTGTTCTGAGCGCGGCCTCCCCTCCCCCCTCCTCCCGCGCTCCCTCCGCCTCCCGCCGCGCCTGCTGCAAGTGCCTCCGTTCGCCTCGGAGGCGCCCCTCCGTCTCTCGAGCGCTGCTCGAGCCGAGCGGACGCAGGCCAGGAAACATGCCCTTTGATGGGCTTGTTTTCCACCACCACCACGAGTTGGAGGGGGAGGGGGTCCTCCTCCCCCCCCCCCCCCCCCCTCCCCCTCCTCCCCCTCCTCCCCCCGTCGTCGTCGTCGTCGTCGTCCTCCTCCTCCTCCTCCTCCTCCTCCTCCTCCTCCTCCTCCTCCTCCTCCCTCCTCCTCCCCTCCTCCCGCTTCTCCTCCTCCTCGTCCTCCACCTCCCTCCACCTCCCTCCAACTTGTGGTGGTGGTGGTGATGGAAGACAGGCCCACCGTTTTTCGCGCGGCGGTGGGCCTCGGAGCCCGCCGTGGCTGCCCCCCCCTCCCCCCCGCGCGCCCTCCCCGGGCGGCCCCAGGCGGGGACCTGCGCGTGTTCGTGGACGGGCGCCCGGCGCGCCGCGGCCCCGCCCCGCGGAGAAGAGCCCTGCAATAAGGACGCGCGATGAGGACCCAGACATGATCGCGTCGTAACAAAATCAGGACGGGAGGTTTTTGCATATTTTCGGCCTCGGGGGGCCCCCGCCGGGCCTCGGGACCGTCAAAAAACGACTCAGGACGAAAAACCGGCCCCGGGGAAAGGGCCGGGACTTCTGGGAACGCCGTCCTGAAAAAATCAGGACGTCGCATGTTTGGGGATGCGAGAGCCTTCTTTTTCTGTTCGACTGGGCGACGGATCGCTGGAGACAGTGCGAGATCTGCGTGCAGAGCGCGTGTGCAAGTAGGACACCCGTATCTAACTAGAACAGCGCACAGGTCCGAGCGATGCAATCAGGACATATGCAATGAGTGAAAAAATGCACAAGTTGTGAAAGCGTCACCCGCGTGCAATTAGAGCACACCCCCACCCCCGGGGGCGCCCCGGCGGGCGGGGTCGGGCGGACGCCGCCCAGACTTCCATCGACTTCGCGAAAAAGTTCCGCGGCGGGAATGTACAGTCAAACACCCTAATAAGGACGCGCGGTAAGGACGCAAGAGCCTTGGAAGCCGAAGTTGGGATTTCTGGGGCGGCGACGACGAAAACCTCAAGGACGCAAGAGCAAGGAAGAGCAAGGACGCAAGGGTACCCTGAGCAAAGTCGCGCGTCCTTATTAGGGTTTTTGATTGTATCCGCATCCACCGCCCGGAGGGTCAGTTTTCGGAGCCTCCAGGCGGTGGATGTGGACATATTCTGGCCCCTGGGGGCCGATATATATATATATATATATGTATGTAGATGTATATATATATATATATAAATATGCATATATATATATATATGCGTAGATATATATGTGTGTACATATATATATATATATATATATGTGTATATACATATACATATATATATCCATATCCATATCCAGCGCCCGCTGGGGCACCAGGACGTCGGTTCCCAGGCGGTGGATATGGATCAATCCCCGCCTCGCAAGAGTGACCCTTCGCCGGAGTGACCTTTGGTCCCAGACCCCCTCGGGTAATGAATCAATCTCGACGGGAGGTTTTAGGATGAAAAACCGGTCCCGGGGAATCGGTCGAGACTTCTGGGGTCGGCGTCACGGAACAATCATGACGTCGGGTGTCTAGGGTGCGGGCCCATTGGGGTCCCCCGATCGCCGAACGAGATGCGGTAGTAGCGTCTTGCGCGCTGTGTGTTCGGTCCTCCCCCGCGCCCCCCCAACAAAAATCGTGCACCTGCGGTCACTCTTGCCGAGGGCCATTCTTGCGTGGAGTCGGTTGAACGTCGGCTGTTGTGAATAGGCAGTTCTGGAGATTGAGATCCCCATCTATTTCAAGCGTTCTCCTATTGCAGAAATCAACATGTGTTTGGTGTGTTCTCCTATGCTCTGGGTCTGATTTGTCCGCCCTCCTTCATGTTTCCACCTGATTCTTCCGACTGGCGTTAGAACGGGCATGTTCCCCTGCAGGCGGGGTTTGGACGAAACATAAACAATAGTCAAACCATGTTTTTTTCCCAAAAAACTTGTCAAACATATTTTTATATAAAAGATAAAAGCAAAAACAACTCGCGTCTGGACTTAAAAGACTGGCGTGTGCACAACGGCTGGGGAGTGCCGGGGCGGAGGCTTTGGCGCTGTTCTCGGCCTCCGGGGGCGCTTCGCCGGGCCGGGCCCCAGGGTGCGCTCACGAGAGCTCTTCGGCGGCGACTATAGCTCAGGGCCCGGGCGGGCACTGCACGCATTCGTCTGGGAGCCTCGCCGAAGGCATGGGCCCTCGACGCCCCTGGACACGTGCAGTGCTCTCCCCTTGGGCAGTTCGCCCCCATCGTCGCCCCCGAGTTCTGTGCGTGTCCCTTGGCGTCGCTCGGACGTGTGCATGTTTCCTTCGTCGAGGGCCATCGAGGAGCATCCTTGATCGTTTTGCGAGAAAACCACGCACGAGGCCGACAAAAAGCACAGGGAAGGGATGTCCGAGCGATGGCGGGCGTCGGCTGCGGCTGATGGGCTCTCGGGGGAGGGGCGCCCAGAGGCCGGGGCGCAGCGGCGAGGGCCAAAGCTCGAGCCTCTGGCGGGCAGATGTTTGTCCATACTTGGCATCGCTCGGACGTGTGCAGTTCTCCTTCGGCGAGGACCATCGAGGAGCATCCTTGATCATTTGGCGAATCTACCACGCACGAGACCGAAAAAAGCACAGGAAATGGACGTCCGAGCGATGGCCAGCCAGCACGGGGAGGGAGCCCCGAATTCCAAGACGCATACAGTCAAGGCGCTGAAATAAGGAACAGTTTGGGTTCGGAGGGGGCTCGATGTGCCTTAGGTTCCGCCAGTGCTGTTCCTCTTGCCCTCCTGGGGCACGGAGGCGCTTACAGGGCCAATAAAGGGGCTTCGTTCCTTATGTAGCGTTCCTTCTTTCAGCAGCCGTCCTGTCCAATCAAGGCCGACTGTACTCCACATCCCTGATTAGTCATCCCCCAGGTCCCGTCTTGAAGGCGCCTTTTTGTGTAACTGGGGGGGGTCCGGTTTATCAGGGCGCTTTCTTTGGATTGGAATTTAGGGGGCCCGTTTATTAAGGCGCCCCATCGAAGAGGGGGGTCCGGAATATTAATTAGGTCGCATTTGGAGGGGGTCCGGTTTTTTGGGGTGGGTCGATGAAGAAGGGATGTAGGGGTACAAGTCTTGCCCGCGCAGGGCCGTCAGGCCACGATCTGGCTGGAAAGTCCAGTGTGGTCCAGAGCTCCCGGGGCCCCGCAGGGGAAAAGTCGAAGCATCCGAGGTTTGGGCAGGGGCAAGGGGGGCGAAGTCTGCTGAGTGCACCTGGTTTCGGCCCCGCCGCCGAGGGCGGCTTACTCAACACCTTGGCGCCAGGGGGCGCCAGGGAAATCGGCTGCGTGAGCCGATTCACCAACCCTTGTTTACTAACATTCAGTCGAACCTGTCCCTCTACAAAATAGAAAAAATAAAAGTATGGGGACGATTGTTTGACTATTTTTGCCCATCGGGGGGGGGTATTTTGTCGTATTTCTTATTTTTCGCCCAAAATCCCCCTGTAGGGGGACACTCCCGACTTAGTACTAACACCTCTCTCGTCCGACCCGAGTGGAGCTTTGAAGTCCGGGCGTCCCTCAGGCTTGCGCGGCGCAGCAGAAAGTTCGACAGGAGTGCTTGTCTGCGCTCTCGACATTCCCGCCCCCAGGACCGTCAACAAAACATCTTCGGGATGAAGAGTTGGCCCCTGGGGAACTGGTCGAGATACTCTGGGGCCGACGTCGCGACAGCTACGGGACGCTGAAGGAAGCGCGCCTCATTTTTTCACGCCGTGTGCTTTCGCTGGCGTTTGAAGTTCCAGAGCCATCGCGGATCGGTCTGGTGCGGGAAGCTGTCGCAGAAAAATTCGATTTGAGGACTCTGGTCGTGGTGCTGTTCCTGCGATGTTTTTTATTATCATTATTACTCTGCGGCGCCGGGTCTCTGGGGGAGGCACTGACCCAGACCTCCTTTCAGGCGATCGCAAACATGGATCAAGGATGCGTGGATTAGAGACGGGTCGCGTCTCCATTGGAAATCGCGGGTTTCCGCCGCCGAGCCAGGCGTCAACGGCAGCATTTTGGGGAGGGCACCTCTTTCCGACCCATGGATTTGGCGACCGCGCGCCAAATCCATGGATCGCTAATCCATGTTTGCGCGCCCCCGATCCCAGTGCCATGACAGATCTGGCGGACTGATGTTTGCCAGTTTGGGGAATTTGGGCAGTCAATCGAGGCGAATCGGGATGAAACTCCGGTCCCGGGAAGGAGCCCAGACGTCAGGGGGGCCCAAGCTGTTAAGACCCACACCGCTCGAGTTTTGGAGAGGGGCGGGAGGAGAGGGAGGCAATTACCCTGCGCCACCCACTGGCGCCCCTTCGCAATCGACCCCCCTTCGCACTCGCCAGTCGTCGAATGGTGCGCCGCGGGCGTGGTCCATTTGAGGCAGAAGGCCGCCTGCCCATCAACGGCCGCTGTCGCTTTGGGGAAAATTGGTGGTTGGGCATAGTCTCCGTTCTTCCGTGTGCACATCTCGGGCGTTCACAAAGGCTTGGGGGTCCCAAAACGGTGCGGTGACAGACCGTGCGGCGATTTCAAGATCCCAAGAGGCTTCGCCCAGACGGTCCGCCGCCGCACGGTTTGGGGAGTCTCATGGCCTCGATTGCCAGAGACGTGCTCACGTCATCAAACCCTGTGGCTGCCCCGGAACCCCACTGACTCACAGCGCGGTGCTGCCACCTCGCCGTTCAGGGACCACTAGTGAGACGCTGGACAGTCGGAGTCAACGGCCAGTCCAGGATTCGGCCGCGCGGCGTGGCGAGGCACACTCAGATTGACAGAGTATCGCTTTCCACCCGTGCGACTGACAGGTCAGTTGAGAGTTAAGTCGGGCCTGTCCCTCTACAGGGGGAATGTCCAAAAATACAAAAAAATCGCGGGATTATTTTTTTTAGTATTTTTTGGCCTTGTTGGGGTATGTTTGGGGTATGTTTCATTGTTTGTTGAAAATCCCCCTGTAGGGGGACAGGCCCGACTTAAAGTTTAGAGGACATGTTCGCGGCGCCGAAGCGAGAGCACGAGTTCGAAAAAGAAGCGCCCCCAGTCGATGTAGCCGTTCGGAGCGGCACGCGTGGGTGCGATAGTGCGGCCGGATGTCCCCATAGAGGGCACTGTCTTCGAACCAGGGGGAGCCCTCCGTTCGCGTGCCTTCTGGATGCTCTCACTTTGAGGGGCATGACGTAAGTCGGGCGTGTCCCTCTACAGGAGGAATATTCAAAAATAGTAAAAAAAAACAATCTGGGGATCGATTTCTTACCATTTTTGACTACGTTCCAGCATTTTTCGATCGTTTCTCATGTTTCCTGCAAGATCCGCCTGTAGGGGGACATGCCCGACCTAGGGCGGCATGCCATGTGGGGATCTGCCAGGCGAGAGCTCGACACTGAAGAGGGGCCGCCATCCACCCGTTCAGCTCTTGGACAGCGCAGGTTGCGTCACTCCACTCCGGAGACCCTCCTTGTCGAGGGACCCTTTTGACAGCGGGTCACCATCCATGACGAGGAGCAGACTTTGAAAACGACCCGCCCACCATACCAACCATAGATGCTGCTGTCCGTAATCCCTGGCTCCAGGATTCTACAATGTTGGGGTGGTTCTTTCTGTGGGTGGCCCGCCCTCCACCTGTTCAGGACAGCAGAGCCTGGGGAAGTCTAAGGCGAGACGACCAGACCGCCCTGCCGGCAAGTGTGGCGGCGCGTCGAGGATGGGCGAGCTAATTACGAGGGGGTCGCAAGCATGCACCGCCCGGCTCGGTCGCAGTGGGAGGCGAGAGGTGGCGGCGCGCCACAGCTCGAGAGGCCTGGCAATCTTGCTCGCAAGGCTGCGTGGCGAGTTCCTTCACAAGGAGGTGGAGGGTGATGATGGTGATGATGATGATGATGATGCTGCTGCTGCTGCTGATGATGATGATGATGATGAGGAGGAGGAGGAGGAGGAGGAGGAGGAGGAGGAGGAGGGGGGGAGGAGGAGGAGGGGGACGAGGAGGAGGGGGAGGAGGAGGAGGAGGAGGAGGAGGAGGAGGAGAAGGAGGAGGAAGAGGAGGAGGAGGAGGAGGAGGAGGAGGAGGAGGAGGGGGAGGAGGAAGAGGGGGAGGGGGAGGGGGAGGGGAAGGGGGAGGGGGAGGTGGTGGCAGGCCCGGTGACGCCGCACAGGGGGGTCATCGCCGGCACGGCGACAGCCACATACGAAGTCAAGGCGTTCGTAGCTCCGGAGATCTTGAACTGGTGCGAGCAGCTCCAGACGGGGCCGGGTGAGCTGACAATCCACATTGATGATTTTCATGCCGGGGTCGCCCATGCATGTTTTTTTATCACTGCGTGAGTATATTTCAAACTCGGGCTTTTGCCTTGGCCAGGCTTCTCCAGGACATCTTAGGTGTGCCTTCGGCTGATGAGAAGATGGTCGTCACTGGTTCTTCGGATGCTTTGGTCCAGGCAGCGCAGTCGGCGCTAGGTGATTTGGCAGGTCGCGCCGAGCACTTCCCTCGCAACCTGGGCGTCGATTTCGGCACGGGTAAGCATAGGCAGCGAGCAGGAGCAAGGAAGGTTCGCAACAAGCGTTTTTCGGTCATCCCCACCCGCCTCAAAAAGATCAACCGGATCAAGAAGCTTGTGTCCCGTGCCAACTTGTTTTTCACGGGGCTACAACCAGCGGCCACTTATGGAGGGGAGGTGATGGGGTACACGCCGCAGGAGGTAGGTTTCTTACGGCTCTCTGCTGCCAAAGTCATGGGTATTCCGAAAGGTGGGATGGAGTTGGGATGGAGGCTCTATCCTAAGAAGGACCCCATCAAAATAGCTGCTAGTACCTTCAGGCGGTACTGCCAGGAGTGGTGGCAAGCGAGTGATGCTGACCTCAAGCAAGGTGATGGCCTGGCTGCAGGTGAACTGGGCTCTGTTTTTCGTGCGACCCTTGCTCATTTCCATCGCCATCCAGATAAATCGAGCTGCTTGCGCAGATCGTCAGGGCCAATGGCTGATATGCATCTTTGGATGAGAGAGGTCGGATGGGAGTTCGTCAACCCAGGCATGGTCGTCCGTCGCAATGGGGATCAATGGCCTCTAACAGACACCCCGCCCAAGATGCTTACCCAATGGTTTGTTGACGATTTGCAGGATTTGTATCATATGCGAGTGGTGGAAAGTAAGCTGTCCAATAACATGGGTCAGAGGGCTCTCGAAATCAAAGGTCGGGGTATCTGGGGGCTGCCAGCTAGGAGGCTCTTGGGCGGCCAAAAGCTGAACCCCACCCAGAAGAGAATTCTGAAACAGGTGTTTTGTGACAGCTACACCACAGCGGGGAGTTTTAAGCAATGGGGGTACCTCACACATGGGATGTGTGTATTTTGCGGCCAACCCGACACAGTGTACCATCGTGCATGGAGGTGCCCCAGATATGCTCCCGACAGAGAAGGCATCGATCCGGAGGTCTGGCCATGGCCGAGCACGTTGGGGAGGAAGATCCGTTATTCAGCAATCTATGGATGGCGACGCCTACCTCCACTGAGCGGCCGGCTCCAGCCTCTGTTAAGTACGTAGACCCCTCAGGCTTTGAAACTCCCATGTTTAAGCTTCGTGGCGACAGGGAGCTTTACACTGATGGGAGTTGCTTTCACATTGACATTGGTTGGCCCGAGCTGGTTGGTCAGTCATTGAGCGGGATTCCCAGGGTCGCATGTTGCGGGCGTGTTGCGGCCCTGTCCCCGATGGCCTCCCCCAGACGGCCCCAGCTGCGGAACACCACGCTCTTATGCAAGCTCTGGAACACCTCAGTTCTGATTTTCCGAATGACAAGGCCGTGCATGTTGATTGTCAGGCCTTGATCCAAGGGGCCTTGAACATGATGTGGGCCAAGAGCCATTCGGCCCCAAAGGCCGGCTACTGGCGTATCATGTGCAAGTTGGCGGCCGACAGGGAGTTCCCGCCATTAATTAAAGTCAAAGCCCATAAGTCCCTCGAGGAAGCCTCCTCCAAAGACGAGGGGTTGCATATTCTCGGAAACAGGTACGCGGACGAATGGGCTCGTGAAGGGGCCTTGGCTAATGGCTGGCCCGAGAACGGTTTGAAGCTTCATCGGGCTGATTTTTCTTTGTTTTCGGGGGTTGCCCGTGCCATGTTCTCTATAGTTGAGCTGTGGCCCCCCACCAGAGAGCTCCTCGGACCCCCTCCCAAGGTCCCCAGTGGGCAGAGTGCGGTTGCGAGGGTGCCCCACACCCAGGTCTGGGACGGGAGCTGCTGGAGGTGCGTGGCGTGCCATCGGTCCGGAGCCAAGCTGTTGGCCACCACGCGATGCTTCTCCCTCTCGGCTTCATTTCAAGATGTGCTCCGGGAGGCGCAGAAACCAGAGTACGGCATAAGATTCTTGTTACGGCGTTGTCTGCAGCCGGTATGCCCGTTCTCTTCTGCAATGCATGCGGTGCCTTCGCCTCGAGTCGCGCGGTTCGTCTCAGGGATCCCGTGTGTCACCCAAATTTGAATGCTGAACTGCGGAAGTTGCGCCGTGGTTTGTTGCCGGGGGTTTCGGGGAAGGTGGAGCTCGACCCTCTTTGGCAGCCATTGGCTCCGCGACCCGCAGGTGTCTCATCTTCCTCTTCCTCCTCCTCCTCCCAGGTAGTGCGACGCTTGGCCGACTTGGACGCCAGCGCGCGCCGGGGAGGGCAGGGAGCAGGATTCATAGGGAGCTGACCTGGCAGGGCTTGGGGTGTTTCCCCTTCTCTGTCCAATAGGCTTGAAAGGCTTGGAAGGGAGGGGGAGGGGGAGGGGGAGGAGGAGGAGGAGGAGGAGGAGGAGGAGGAGGAGGAGGAGAGGGAGGAGGAGGAGGAAGATGAGGAGGAGATGAGGAGGAGGAGGAGGAGGAGGGGGAGGGAGGGGGAGGGGGAGGGGAGGGGGGGGAGGAGGAGAGCAGGAAAAGGAGGAGGGCAGCAGGAGCAGGAGGAGGACAGGGATGAGGAGGAGGAGGAGGAGGAGGAGGAGGAGGGACAGGGAGAAGGAGAAGGAGGAGGAGGAGGAGGAGCAGGACAGGGAGGGGTAGACATAAGATCAATAACAAGGATTGACGATGATGATGATGATGCTGATAATGCTGATGATGATGGTGGTGGTAGTGGTAGTGGTGATGATGATCATGATGGTGGTGGTGGTTATGATGATGATGATGATGATGATGATGATGATGATGATGCTGATGCTGATGCTGATGCTGCTGCTGCTGCTGCTGATGCTGCTGATTATGCTGCTGATGATGATGGTGATGATGATGATGATGATGATGATGATGATGATGATGATGATGATGATGATGATAATGATAATGATGATGATGATGATGATGATGATGATGATGATGATGATGATGATGATGATGATGATGATGATGATGATGATGATGATGATGATGACCAGGAGGAGGCCGTGGACTGCCGCGCCAGGTGGACGTCCCAGACCTTGCCGGGGGCGAGGGCGCGATGCGTGTGCCAGGACCGCCCCGGATCGCTCTCGTGCCTCCCCGTCCTCATCCTTCTCCCCGGATCTCCTTCGTTTCTCGAGCAGAGTTGGAGGAGGATGTTCCGTTGTCAGCCTTCGGCGTGCGAGGCGCTCCAGAGAGCCGGACGGGGCCAGGACGAGGATCAATCCGTTCCAGAGCGTTCTGGAACGCTCTCGGAGCGTTCTGGAAGGTGCTGAGAAGGCCGCGAAGCCCGAGACATCCTCCAGAGCCGCCGGATCTCAGAGATTCCCGATGTATCGTCACCCTACTGTATCCTCGTCCTGGCCTCGTCTTAGAGAGGGCATCGCCTTCGACGATCGAAGGAGCTGACATTTCTTCCTCTACGGAAGGCCTGTGGAAGTAAAACGAAGTTGCTCCCGCCAGCGGAAGGGCGGAGGAAGTTGGCGGAAGTAAAATCCACCTTGTGGTCATTTTCTTATTCGTTATTTGGCCGATCGGCGCGGGCCCTCGCAGCGTGGATCTGGGCTGTTTCGAGCGCCTGTTTTTAAGCAGGTGGAGTCTCTCCCATAGGACGCACTCTCGCAAACAGTTGCACTCAGTAGAGGTCTGGAGCCATACCCCCGCACCTCCCCACCCCCTTCCGCCCAATGTCGAAACGCCGAATAAGAAGACGTTCACCTTATGATCCATAGCAATGTTTTAGGGCTCAGGGCTCCAAAAGTTTACTCTAAGCTCCAAGGCAATCAAGCAACACACCCTGCGGGGACTGCCGGGCACCACCCCACATTGAAGTGGATGCCCGCCTCGGGTGTCTGTGTCCATCCCCACCTTTCGGGCGGATGGCTTTTGCCAGGAGGAAGGGAACACATGCAGACACGAGCACATGCCGCTTCCTGGGACGATGTGGCAGAGATGGGAAGTGGGGGGGAGACGACAGTCTTGAAAGTATGGCAGCCTTCTGGGGAATCCTGGGATCTGTATCCGGTGGTGTCCCGTGGCGCGGCTTCCCGTGGTGTTCTGTGCTGTCCCGTGGTGTCCCGTGGTGCTGTGTCCCGTGGTGTCCCGTGAGGTCGATGGTGAGATCGATCGTGTGATCGAGAATGAGATCGCTAGTGAGATCCATCGACACATCGATAGTGACATCGATAGAGAAATCGATTGCCTGATCGATAGAAAGTGAGGTCCATAGACGTAGGCGGATTCATCAAGCTCTAAGCCGTTGTAGCGCACGGTAGAACGCCAAGCTTCAAAAGAGCAAGCTTAAAGTTTGCGGCTTAAGTTTCACCTCAGCTGCTCGAGCTTCAGCTTAGGGTCCCGCGTGAGAGCCAAGCGTGGTTAGGGGAGGTTCAGGGGCGAATTGAAGCGCACATGTTGGCAACGGCCACACGAAAGCATTTTCTTGCATTGCAATGTTGTTTGCGCTGTAGTGGCGCTGCTCGAGCTTGAGCTTAGGATCCCGCGCGAGAGCCAAGTGTGGTTTGGGGAGGTTCAGGGGCAATTGAAGCGCACATGTCGGCAACAGCCACACGAACGCATTTTTCTTGCATGGCAGTTGTTGTGTTGCAGTGGCGCTGTTCGAGCTTGAGCTTAATATCTCGCGTGGGAGCCAAGTGTGGTTTGGGGAGGTTCAGGGGGGGGTGAAGCGCACATGTCGGCGACCACACGAAACCAGTGTTTTTTTACATTGCGTTGTTTTGTGTATTGCAGTGGTATTTGCATTGCATTGTTTCTTGCATTGCAGGCTTTTGGCGCTATTGTGGCGCTGCTCGAGCTTGGGCTTAGGGTTCCGCGTGAGAGCCAAGCGAGGTTTGGGGAGATTCAGGGTGAGTTGAAGCGTACATGGTGGCGACAACCACACGCAAACAATGTGTTCTGTTTTGCCATATGTTGTTGCATTACAGTTGTTTTTGTTTTGCTGCAGTGGCGCTGCTCGAGCTTGAGCTTAGGATTCCGCGTGAAAACCAAGCGCGGTATTGGAAGGTTCAGGGAGGGTTGAAGCGCACATGGTGGCGACCACCGCACGAAAACAGTTGTTGTTGAACATTATTTCTTCTTAAGAATAATTATTGTTGGGACCCCTGGTGCGCGACCCCCCCGCCGCGCCTAGGCCGCAGCCTCATTTTCATCATTTTCGTGAGGAAGTCTCAGGCAAAACGATTGGTACCGGATCCGGTTTTTTGTTGACGCTCGTTTTCCCTTGCAAAAAACACTATAAAATGAAAATTCTTGTTCTTACTTGATCAAATTGCAAGAATCCCTTGCAAAAAATAAGGTAAAGTGGACATTCGTGCGCGCAAGACGAAATCCTTCCAAAACCTTAGGTTTCGTAGCGATTTTAACATAAATACATCAAAAACCCAATGGTTTTTTAAGAAAAAATTGTCAAAATGTCCTTCCGCGCGCGCTGTCCGAATCCCACAAAACCAATGGTTTTTCAACATTTATGTTACATGAGCTCGCGCGAGCTACTTTTTCTTGTTCTAACATAATCAAATTTCAATAATCCCTTGCAAAAAATAAGGTAAAGTGGACATTCGCGCGCGCAAGACGAAATCCTTCCAGAACCTTAGGTTTCGTAACGATTTCAACATAAAAACATCAAAAACCCAATGGTTTTTCAAAAAAAAATGTCCAAATTTCATCCCGCGCGCGCTGTCCGACTCCCACAAAACCAATGGTTTTTCAACATTTATGTTACATGAGCTCGCGCGAGCTACTTTTTCTTGTTCTTACATAATCAAATTTCAATACTCCCTTGCAAAAAAAAGTAAAGTGGACATTCGCGCGCGCAAGACCAACAAAAAACACGACGATCTCAGGAACTTGCCCCAAAAATGTGACCAACTCCGCTCTCTCTGTCTCTCTCTCTGTCTGCTCTCTGTCTCTCTCTCTGTCTGTCTGTGTCATGTATTGTATGTCACAATTGCAGGATGCTGGGCACACGCGCGCCCCGAATAAGTGACCAAGTTCTGTGGGTGTGTACCCCACGCCAGTGTAGTAGCCACGGTCGTCCGCACGCCACGAAGTGAAGTGTCCCAACGTCATAGGGCGGGAAGCTGGGTTTGGGTGGTCGCGAAGAGTCGTTTGGATATTTGGTAGAGCTTGAACTGCCCCCCCACGAAGTGGGGGTATTGTCTCGCGTCGCATGAAAACCCTGGCACTGGTGAGAACACTGAGCGTTCGGGTAAAATGATTGTTGTTGTTGTTGTTGTTGTTGTTGTTGTTGGCGTTGCAGCCTTGTTGGCGCGGGCGGTATTTCTGCAAGGAACCTGACGGGAGCTGACCTGCAGGATAACAGAGTTGTGGCCTCTGCCAATGCGGCGGGGGCGTTGGTCAAGGCATGCGCCCGGGAGGCTGCAGACCCTGGAGGATTCCCTATCTGATGAGGGCGGCGGTGACATCCATGGCCAAGCGTCGATTGGAGTCCCACCGGTCTCCAGACCCTGGATTCCTTATCGAGGGGTTCCTTATCCAATGCCCCCACCGCGCGGAACGTCAGACCTCCCGACCGGCCACACGGGCGCCGCCGGCACCCGATGCCTTCCTGAGTGCGGCGCCAGAGGGGCGCTCTCCAGAGTGCGGCGCCGGCGGCCGCCCTCCTCCTCGCCATCCTCGTCTCCTCCTCCTCCTCTTCCTCCTCCTCCTCCTCCCTCTCCTCCTCCTCCTCCTCCTCCTCCTCCTCCTCCTCCTCCTCCTCACCATCCTCTGCCTCCTCTGCCTCCTGCGCTTGTCTTGTGCGCTGCACTTGTTTTATGCGCTGCAGATCCTGTTTAGCTGTCGTGTCGCTGCCCGAGTTTGAGCTTAGGATCCCGCGTGAGAGCCAGGTGTGGGCTGGGGGAGGGTGAGGGAGGGTTGAAGCGCAGATGTCGGCGAGGACCACACGGGACCCGTGTGTTGTTGCACTTCAGTTTTGTATGCATTGAGGTTTTTGGCGTTACGTTTTTTTGCGCTGTAGTGGAGCTGCTCGAGCTTGAGCTTCGGATCCCGCGTGAGAGCCAAGCCTGGTTCAGGGTTGTTCAGGGAGGGTTGAAGCGAACATGTCGGCGAACACCATACGCATACAGGTTCTGTTGCATTGGAGTTGTGTTAGCATTGCAGTTTGTTTTGCACTGCTGTTTGTTTCGTTGTGTCGCTGCTCCAACTTGAATTTAGGATCCCACGTGAGAGCCAAGGGTGGTTCGGGAGGTTCAGGGAGGGTTGAAGCGCAGACGTCGGCGACCATAAGACGGAAGCATGTTGTTTTGGTTTGCAGCTTGTGTTGCTTTGCAGTTTGTGGGGATGACAGCTTTTCTTGCATAGCAGAGAGGTCCCGAGAGAGTTCCAAGAGGATACCAAGAAGGCCACCAACAATATCATACCAGGAGCCTCTGGTAATGTTGCTTTGAAGTTTCTTTCATTTGTAGTTGCCCTGCGTTGCAGAGAGCTCCAAGAGGGTCCCGCCGGGACTCCAAGAAGGTTTCAAGAAGGTCCCCAAGATCGTCATACCAGGAGCATCTGGTATTCTAAGCCGCTCGATGCGAAAAGCTCTTATTCGCCAGCGCCTTCTTATGCTCTGGGGCACACATCGATATGGCTTCCTTTCCACCGCAGCCAGACTTGACGCAGCTGCGCTTTCGGTCCCAGCCCCGGCTGCGGCGACGCCAGGGGCGGGACGATGATGACGACGACGATGACGACGATGACGACGACGACGACGACGACGAGGAAGTCGAGGACGAGGAAGCCGAGGGCGAGGCCAACAGCGACGACGATGTCGTATTTTGTTGGATTTCGGCCTTTCCGGGACTGTCGGCGGGCTCTAGGGACCGTCAGAGACAGTGCTCCTCCCATTCCTCCTCCTCCTCCTCCTCCTCCTCGTCCTCCTCCTTCTCCTCCTCCTCCTCCTCCTCCTCGTCCTCCTCTCAGTCCCTTCCCCCTCCTCCTTCTCGTGCTCGTCATTGCGGGGCTTGTCGTCTCTTCCTCCTGCTGTTCCTGCTGTCCCTGCTGTTTCTCCTCTTCCTCCTCCTCCTCCTCCTCCTCCTCCTCCCTCTCC